ATTGGCAAGAGCCATATTCGTCCTGTGCAACTGAACTGAACTGAACTGAACTGAACCACTTTCTGGACGCATCACTCTGATTACAGTTCAATTGGTTATTTACTTTCAGTTCATGATTCGTTGCTAGTCTCGAAAAGGCTGTTTTGATGTGCTTACATGTGGGAGATTTTTTTATAGAAAATTTCTATGTTTTAATGGGCCGTACGTTTCTAGACAGCCCTCAAAATGTCCATTTTATTATTAAAAAGAAGACAAATCCGGAACCGGGAATATTGGACGCAAGCCTCGAACCCGAGTACTACTTCAAGACTTAAACTATTTCATCTCCATCTACTTCATCTATCTTCACCTCACTCTTCTAACTCCAGCTCTCCACACCCTCCTCTCCGGAGTAGCTTACTTTTCTCTCTTTCCGAACCTATCTTCGCATACCTGCGGGTTCTCTACTGTTTGCTGGTGGCACCCTTACACCACCAAGGGCCGAGCAACTCGCTGTCGAAGCGTTAGGAGACACCTGGCTTGTAGACGCAAGAACCTGGATTATTAAACTGGCTCAATCCGCATGTCCGTATGTGAACTGTTCTGTCCTGTCCTGTCCACTTTACACCCGAAAAAACAACTCAACCTATTTTGTCCGCCTGGCGAGAAGGCGAAGCTCTATGCAGCACCTCAGCACCAAACTCCTCGGTTAAATGGAGCCCGAATGCTTCAGGCTAATGTACAGCACGTACGTGCGACCGCACCTGGAATGTAATAAAGACTAATAATATAATACATAATGATATGTTTAATATCATAAATTCATAGTATACGTATATATAGTACATATACAATATACAATGCTGATGAAAGACAAAAGGTCTTAGAAGCATGTAAAGAAAGGGCAAGCAAAACAGCTGTAGGTCTAGCCAACCTAACCTACGAAGAATCTGCTAAACCTGTTCAGTCTTTCTCACAGGCGTCTGCCATCACGACGAAATTGCACCTTGACGTGGTGTGATGGCTTTTGCACGTCTGTGACCCAACGAGCTACGTGGGATGGCTTTTATCAAGCCAGCAGATCTTATCATGCCTGGAAGGTCAATGGGTAGAGGTTAGACGAAGTCAAGTCTCCTGGTCCTCCAGGTTCGGGGTTCGACTGGAATTTGAGTTGCAGTCGGTAAAAAATGGTGGAGGAATAATCGATCCAAGTAAATGAGTCCCCACTTCACTGCACCCGCTGCCTTGCGATTAGGTTCTTGTTAGAACTAAAGGCTTTGGTCGAGAACCCTACTCATTCTCCTGCTTAGTTGCTAAANGTTGCTAAACACCCTAGCAGTACCCGTCCATCAAACCCCAATGCATAAACGAAATAGAAATAATTTCACACTGCATCGGTCGGCGCGCAGGATAATCAGGACCGCGCTGCCCATTGCATCGAGTGGGGTGAGTAGTGATAAGTGGGTTACTGCTCAGATACATCAACCTTCGTTTAATTCTTTGTCATCAGTACGCAGCCCTCTTCAGTTTCCCCTTCTTTCTACCTGTAATTGTCCCTCAAGCAACTTGGATGTTGCTCGCCAAAGTTCGTTGCCAAATAGCACTGTAAGTAATGTATCTCGAAACGAATTTCAGATTCTGAAGCCTCATCAATCGCTAAATCTGGGGGCCTTCAACGTGAGGACCCTGATGCAGGTAGGTCAACAAGCTTGTCTGGCGCGTATAATGGAACCATTGGGGATCGATATTTGCTGCGTGTCGGAGACTTGTATCCAGGATCCTACTATGAGCCACTTCAGCGCGCCAGATTTGTCTTCGAGATATGTTCTTCGCACATCAGGTGACGACGAAGCCCGCTCAGTGGGCCAGTTCGGGGTAGGTATTGTACTCAGTAACAGAGCGGAGTCCTCTCTTATCGATTGGTTCCCCGTCAACAGTCGTTTATGTGCAGTGCGTCTCCAGGGTCCAATCAGCGTCCGGAAGAGAAGCAACACCAAAGAGTGTTTGTTCATCTTATCAGCATATGCACCAACCAATTGCAGTTCTGATACCCAAAAGGACGACTTCTACGATGACCTCACCGATTTCATTCGAATGGGCCGAAGCTCCGACATAGTTGTACTTGCAGGTGACTTCAAAATGCAGGTTGCAAAACTGGGCGCATCAGAATCTTGCTTAGGCTGTAGTTGTGCTCTGCTCAGTCAACGAACAGATAACGGCGATCGACTTCTTCAGTTCTGCGCAGATCATCATCTGTTCCTATCAAGCACCAGCTTCCGACGTAGCTGTCGACGGACGGCAACGTGGTGCTCTAGCTCAACTGGTACGTTAACTCAAATCGACCACATAGCAGTAAGTTACCGTTTGCGTGGCTCAGTGCAAAATTGCAGGTCTTATTGGATCACCTTCTTTGAGCCTGACCACGCGTTAGTTTCGGTGCAGTTCACTCTTCGGTTGTCTGGTGGACGACAAAACCAGAAAACTCGGATAGCTCACCATCGACTTTCTGTTCCAGCAGTTCATGCACGCTGAGTCAGAACTAGCGTGTGAGCTAAGCGCACCTCAACGTGGTGAGTTAAATGAGCAATGGGAGCAGATTAGGCGAGCGATGCATTCCGCTGCGAATGTTGCTTGTGGGACTGAGCCTCAAGTGCAATGGAGGCATTGGATATCTGATGAGTCTGTAGCACTGATGTATCAAAAACGACAAATGACAAGGACTGCATATCACGTGATATGAAGCTCAGAAATGAATGCATTCCTCGAGTCAGTGGAGAAGAGATTCACAAGTGCGGTTTCCCACTGTCTCTAATCGACAAAATTTCAACATGGAACATCGAAATTAACTGACTTCCATAATCTGAAAAGGTTACAGTGTGCGGCAACTCGAACCATGGCCGGTTTCCACTTGATATGTTGTCTCCAACTCCCACAAGCAACCCAAAAGCACACCGACGGTGGTGGCATGGAAGCGGCTGGTGAGTGGAGCTACTCACGGATCTCGGAATGCGCGTGAATTCTTAGTGTATTATGGCCTGAAGTAAAAAAACCCTCATGGTTGGCTGAGATATTTTTGGGTGTCTGATAAAAATCAGATGAAGGGACATTTTCCCCCTTCCGGTTACCATAGAGGCCCAATCCCCATGCTTCTTACACATTCTCACTTACTTTGTATGCATTGTAAGTTTGGCAGCGATCAGTGAAGTTCGCTTCCGCGTATTACACTGTATGTTGATGATGACTGTGACGGCGTGGCTTCAGCTTTCCCACTGAGAGCCACACTCACTCCAAATTAGTATCAGTAAAGAGCGAATTAAGAATTGTCTACTCAGCGGCGGACTGGTGACTGTCAGTTACATGTCTTATTCGATTTACCTTTGAATCAAATGACCTTAGTTTGAATCCGTTCAAGAAGAAATAGATAAGTGGGTGAAGCTTCATCGATCAATAAATCCTCGTGAGTGTGAGGTTATCTGTTTCTACTATTTTTGCAATGCACAAAATTAATTCTTTGGTCTACCGGTTTCCACAGCTGAACACCGGGTGCTCGTGGTTATCGAGTTTTCCATTCTAGATATTTAATATGCGATACCATGGTAATAATGCATCAAACTGTACTGAACTTGATTCGCCTTTCCCTTGGATACAGTGGTCATGTCGAGTAATACTTTTTTCTTCTTTTAGTCAGATGGTAGATGACATTCAATTAAGATTCCCTTGTCATCATAGCAAGCCAAAACCTCAGGCATCTTTTTTTGGACTAAGGATTTTTTACTGCGTTTATTTCTTACCTTTTCCTTCCGTTGACATATTTTTCGAAATAGTTCCACATTTATGGTATATGAACTGAACAAATATATTTGCTTAAAAACATGATAACATGAAAACTGCTCCGGGTTTGGCATTAATTTTCTTTAGGTTCCATACTGTGCGGTGCATCTTTGAATAACCTATTCTGGGCTCGTTTCCCCACATGCAAAGCCGATACTCTCATGCTGTGGGTGTCCTGAAGGGTTTTCGAAAAATTGCCGAAGCATCAGTCAAGTTACAGGCAGATGAAGCGTGTCAATGGTGGAGTAAATCAAGTTTAAAGGATTTACTAGTCGATGAACTCCGTTGTTGTGGAAAATCTGTTGGTCAGAAGGACCTTTCTGAGTCAGCAAAGTTCGTTGTTGATCGACTGAATTTGTTCGCTCGGCAAAGTGTTATTGTTGGCCAGCATTTGTGCTCATCATCTGCTACGGTGGATTCTACTTCAGAAGCTCCCCCTGTATCTAACGCTGAGGCATTAACTGAGTACGAAGCATCTCAGATATCGAAATTAAATCTAGAATCGGAAAATCCTCTTCCTTCGGAAGAAAATCCATCAGTTGGTTCCAAAGCAGCCGGTGCATATCCCATGATTCATAATCTCGGACCTGTCGCCAAGCCAACTGAAGTCGTTACGAAATCACAAAGAGTAACTGTTCTTTCCCAAGAATATTTCATTATAGACTTTGAGTGAAGCAAAAGAGCGTCGAGTACCGTCATCTCGCATCGGACGTATTGCTGGCTTTGGAAGTTAGTATTGTGGTACGCTCTTGTAATTTCTCGTTAGATTTGGCTGTCGGCCTCGGTTTGGGAGCTGCAGCAGAGTGGACAAAACGCAAAGTCGGCTTCACTGGTTTGAAACATTTCTTAATTAACTCTTATTCACAGGCTCAGATAATGCTGTTATAGGACCTGATAATCCGTTTCTTACAGAAGCGAATTTACAACGTATCGTAGACACCTTGTGCCGCATGCGCGGTGCTGCATTAAAACTGGGTCAGATGCTCAGTATTCAAGGCAAGCACCTCCTTTGTTGTGCGTTTACCCAAGTTTCTTTTAAAAACGTATGGCAGGTACCAAACCATTTTTTCTCACAGTTCCGTTTGCTGAGTACGACATAAGTAGTTGCATTTTTTCCTACGGTCATGGTTCATGTTGTTTTCAAATTCGCTTCATGAGCGTTAAAATTATTTGCAAATTGTCTTCTGTCAGAACTTTCATTCTGCACACGATTCTTTTTCTATTGATTGACTATTACCTTCATGATAATATCCATAAACGACAACTATTATCGATGGAAATAATTCTATGCTTTTTCGCACTAAAGTAGTTTAGTCGTTTGTTCCTCCAGCAGTTCAGCTTTGTACACTTTGCACTTTCGTGCGCCGGTTTGAGTTGCTGTCTTTGACTGCCTATTTGGATGAACAGTAGAAAAAACACTAAGGTTGAAAGTAGAGTCGACGAGAAAATGGGGAATTTCAGCGGACTAAGGTTGCGTAGAAATTAAGAAGATGCACAAACGTCACTGGTTACCACACAGCCATATCATTGAGTGTTTCTAACCATCGGTTACGATTATATAGCGGTCCTCAGCCAGGGACCCTAACCGGACCTATGTGACCAAATCTCGTGGTTAGGGCCAGGTATTGGTTTGACCGCCCTTATCTTTATTCCTGTCTCGGCAAACGTCGTTCGCCGTGGCAGCCTATTTGGTGACATGAGTAACACATGCACCAACCAACGTAATCTATGTACGTTCACCACTTGCTCCAGTGGGCGACCGCGGTTACCCAAAAACTGCTCCTAACCTCAGCATTGCTCGTCCATTGCTCGTACGGCTACCCCACCAGACTCGTGCAATGCTGTCTAGACAGCGGTGTTCAAACACCAACAGTCTATCTTTATTCTGTTTTCCTAATGGCCAAGTTTCTGCGCCGTATAGCAGAACTGGCCGAAGTGCCGCAGCATACACTCGGCCCTTCACAGACAGCCGGATGTCGTGACGCGGC